AGCAAGCTTCAGAGTTTAGATTTCAAACCTTACATAACTCAAACACAGGTAACTTTAAGACGAATTGCAGCAAAAAATTACACACTTCTTTTAGACTACAGAGAACTGAGCAGGTTCAAGGCTGAGGAGTTGCCATATTCCACAGTTACAACAAAACTGAACCCCCTTATGGGTACATTGCAACAATTTTGTAAACCCCAAAGAATTGGGCTGCAATCCCATCTTTATTATTGACCTGCTGCGAAACCTTGGGAAAGCCTCATCATCTCTGTGCCTGTCCCCCTCTCAGTCTTTGTCATGCCTAGTTACACGATAAATTCTCCGAAGCTTGGACTGCCTCGTTGTATTATTTCTTAGCACAATGGTGTCCCACTTGCAGTTCAGCATTTCAGTGCTGTTTAAAGACAAAAAATGAGATGATTTCACTTGCTGGTAAATCTCAGCTGGCTGCTGGTTGATTTCCACACACCGTACCAGGCAGAGAAATCAGAGAAAATGAGGGTTGGAAGGGACTAGAGATCATCTAAATTTTAGATGTCCTGAGGTCCCTTCCCAACCCTCATTTTCTCGGATTCTGTGCTCTGACCAAAGCAGGACCATCCCCAACTATACCTTCCCAGCCAAGGCTTTATGTACCCAGGTCTTAAAAACCTCCTTGGTCATCTCAGTCAGCGTGGTAGAGGTGGTATAATTTATTAGAACAACTCAATAGTTGCAAAAAAATATATATTTTGCAACTATCCAGTTGGTCTAATAAGAGATATCACCTCTTCCACGCCGACTGCTTTTGCCTTTAGACCAACACAGCTACCACCTTTATCCTTGGTTATCTCTTGGCTTAAACCGAAAGCTAGATTATTTTACAGAAGTTAGGCATCGAAGCTGGCTTCTGGAAAATATACCCCATTTTTCCTAATTTGGCTCAGGTAAGAGTTACAGCAGACTCAACACATCTGAAAAATCACGTCACTTACTAGAAATGCAAAAATCTCTCTCTCTTGGTTCAGATATGATACCTTTTATTAGACCAACTTCAAAGGTATCATTTCTGAACCAAGAGATCTAGATTTTTGCATTTTTGTCTCGGATCAACACAGCTAGCAAATACATCCCTGGTCACTTACTAGGGTATTTTAAATGCACTATTGTCCCACCTAGGTGCTCAAAGTTAGGCCCTTAAGAAAGAACAGGTTTTATTGCCGGAAGTGTCAAATATTAAGTGAAGATAACAAAAGAATGCCCATTATCCGCCTTAACTGATAATCAACCCTCATCCTTCTCACCCTTTGTTTAAGCATTACCCATGTATCCCCTAAGTGTTACAACAAAAAAAAGCAATGCATTGCTTCAAGACTTCAAGCTCAGGAAGTAGTAAGAGATGTTTAGACAGTAACGGTTGAAGATGTAGATATGAAGGCAAGGTTCTTCAGATACAGGTGGTATCTTTTATTAAACCAACTAAATAGTTGAGGAAATTGTTCTATACAAGCTTTCAGGCACAAACACCCGCCAGGCATTGGGAGACTGCTGATGTTATGGGTTCTCCAAGGTAGAAAAGTTGGGACGGGTAATTTGAGAAGTTACTGGGGACTACAAAAAGGTGCGATAAAAAACTGTTGCTAATGTTGGACGGAAAAAGTTAGAGAGAAGATCATCTGAACACGTGGTAACAATAAGACAGGGCCAGATTTTAAAATGGTATTTTAGGCACCTATATCTTACTGATTCAATGGGAGTTCAGAAGTTAAATACTTTTGACACTTGTCTTGTGGGACCAGTTGGCTAGTACAGCAAAGGGGAGACATGAATATTTCCAAACAAACCTAGAACTTTTACAAACTAAATCATTTGTTAAAGCATCAATTCTCTATTTGTGCTCCAAAAGGATACGTGGCTAGCCTAAAGACCCGAAACTCTGAAAAATGACCAAACACACTGGATTGAATACAGTGAATCACAGTCATTTAGAACCATGATGCTTTTAGTATTAGTATTGTCATAGCATGTATTCAGTCTGTCATGAACCTGAGCCCTACTGTAATGTGCATTTGTATAGTACTCAAAGACCATTTATTTAGAAGAAAGTGATTAAAATGATATCTTTTAGGCCTGTGCAATAGATTTAATTCCTGTGTGACTTTTAAAAAATTTAATTAGTTAAAACTAGTCTAAGTCCAGTGCAAACATTGTTACATTCCTATAGATTATCGTTGTAAACTTTTTGGAACAAACAAGACCAGTAAGATCCTTACAGCTGTGTGAATGGGGAGGGGGTGTTCAAATCAAAGTAATACAAAAATTGTGTACAGCAGCACTCATTGTCTGGGGGCCTCAGAGAAGCAGCAGGTTTAAGGGAAATATAAATTGCATGGAAACGAACTTGAAAGAGGAACAAAGATAAAAGCAGAAAAGGGAAACAAAGCAGAGACTGGCATCGTTATAGCGGGCAAGATGGGCATTTTGCTTTGTGAGCACAGAGGCCCAAGCTGATCTAACCACTTAGGCTGATAATTCCCCCTGCAATAATGAGCAATTGATGCTCAGACCTATCACTTGATAAAACTGGGGCTTTCAGTAGCTCTGATATCAGGAAAGAGGAAGGGGAAGAGCAAGTTCGAGTTTTGTGTTTTGGGAAGCCACAGAACAGTGACAGTACCCCTATAAATTTAAGAAGTGCCTGTGGCCAGTAAAATTAGGGCATTAATATCTACTGAAGCAAGAGACATTAGTATGTTATATTGCTTAAAAGACTTCTGAGGCCAGGGTCAGCTAATTAAACTGGATGCCAATGCCAGGGCATCTTTATAGTTCCAATGACTATTCTAATGATCTGACTTTTAACAAATAAAATGTAAGCCCTTATCTGGATTTAATCAATCACCTCATTTTAGATGCAAGATACTCAAGGCTCAGTCAAGGTTGTCCAAGGTCATAGAGCAAATTAATGCAGAACTAAAAACTGAATTCAGATTTTCTGCCACTGCTTTCATCGCAGACAAGGCTACTTCTCAACCAAGAACAAGTCATTCATGACTGGAGTCAAGGTTTCTGGAGCAGATTCCGATCACTGCCAGTAAAGCCTGTCTACACTGCCCCCATACCGAGATCATAAGCAGAGATGAGAAGTGAGTTCTGCCCACTTGCTCCTGCTCAGCATATGCCAAAGCCTGGAAATTAGGCAGTGTAGCCAACTCTTTGCAGGTCTTGATCATGAGCCAGGAAGCAAGAAAGCTGGAGAAGGCCTGAGCACATGCTCAGAACCATGCTAAATCCTCTATACAGTCCAAACTTCATGGCTTCGGCAGACATCGCGCAAGAGTGAGGGAGAAGGGCGTGTTTCTTCACTGCACTCCCAGGGGTTTGCCAGAGGTGGTATAGGCATGCCCACGGAGACTGTACCAGCGTGGTCATATGCACTCTATGTCTGGTTTACAGGGATGATCCTTTAGGATAGAAAAGCCATTTTTAAACAGTAAAGAAGCAGATACACACACTTAGTAAAAGACAAGGTTTTCTTTAAAAAAAAAAAACAAAAAAACAACCTGTAAAACAGGAAACGAAGATTTGTACAGAGACTGATGGCAAAATAAACAGACAGAATATGCGCAAAAAAACAAAACCAAGAGTTTGTTTTACAGGGGTCAGCTGATAAAATTAAAAATGGCAATGACTTAAAATATTAACACCATGGCTCAAGTACTGCTCTACACCCAGTAAAAATACATGTACACAACGGGAAAAAGACACCTGTAGCTCCACATCCAAAAGCTAGACTGTTCTCAAGCTGGTATCGAATTCATATCTTGTACGATTCCAGTGGCACTTCTACCATAATCTGTATGCTTCATCCCTCTGCATCTGGTAATGGAAAAATTCCCTGATCCAATGCACATGCTGTTTCATAAAACAAGGTAGTGGCTGCTATGTGCAATTCAAACCAAGAAAGAAACATGCTTTTTGGTGTTTTTTGTCAACTGTGAATCTTTTGTGTTCACATACTAAGATTTTTTTTCCATCACGCTGCATTGCAAAGTGAGTGCAAACCGCTAGGCTCTTTTAAATGCAGAACAGAATTACAAATGTCATAAAAAATCATTTAAACAATTGGTGGACATATCTGATGTTGGTAAACTGAGAAACAGTTAACAGACTAGAACCAAATATGATGAAGACAAGATCCCCGAGTTATACACACAGCAATTTAATACCGACCTGTACTTCTACTGGACCAGCCCTAGCTCTTTCAAGCAAAGATTACACATAATGCCTGACAGTGTAAAGATCTTGTGAAGTGTCCACTCAGGAGACCAAACTCATTCATATTACATACACAAGTTAGAAGATTTGAATGGGTTCCTCTTCCCTGTTTTCCTGGGTTTAAAATTATAAAATTGCACCCACCCTGAACCAACAGAAAAAAAGGATTTTGAAACCTTCTCTTATCACTTCTCTCTTCAGGTTTTAGAGTTCAGCGTTTTCCTCTAAAACACATCCTCAATCAGTCAGAAGAGAACAGACAAGTGGCTGACTGTCCCAAATCCCCTCATCACTTTGGATTATGGAAACTGGTGGTTTATGAGCGGAGCAGAGATTTCAG